CCAAAGATAATAAGCCAGCAAATGGCTCAGTAGGGAAGGGGGTTTACTGCCATGGCTAACTGCCTGAGTTCTATTCCCAGGACCCAAACGATGGAAGGAGAGTATTGATGTCCAAAAGTTGTCCTCTGACCTCCATACTCGTATGAACCCCACTCCCTGGGTTCTCGATCACACAAAATAAATAAATACAAAATAAATAAATAAATAAATAAATAAATAAATAAATAAATAAATAAATAAATAGAAATAGAACAACATGCTATCAGAATTTGGATAAACTGCAACCTTGTGCACTTTGGTGGGAATGTGACATTCATTCACTGTGGAAACAGTATGAGTCCCTTCAAAAATATTCTAAAATATTTAAAATATTAGCTACTGGAGGTTTTTAGCACTTCAGAAATAAAATTTAGCCACTGTGCTCAACCATTTCATCTTAAAATGTTTAAAATCCGTCACCAGATACCATATTTTTCCACATTAAATTTAATTTTAAATCATGTGCCTGCTTCCTTATTAAACACTGCCATCTAGTGGCGACAAAGGCACTTCGTAATCGCATACTGGAAAAGAAAATAAGATACATTTGATCAGATTGTTTCTCAACCCTGGGCAAAGAATGTTCCGTTTGCAGTGGGTAGTGGTTGGTGCCGAGGCTGTTTTCTTGCCCAAGGCCTGAAAATACGCAACCACGACTGCTCAGCCATAGCTGGGACGTCTATATTAACCCTCCTCACAAAGGCTCAAGGATCACGGGTTGGGGGCTTGGGGGAGGCAGATAGAAAGAATTCAAGGGCTGATGATGGGAAGGAACAATGCCATTTACAAAGAAACGGTTACTGAACTCATGAGCTCACCAGCTGCGGTTGCCGGTGTAAAACCTGAACAGAGTCAAGTCAGGTAAAACTTCCAGCATTTTCTGGAAAGTGGTGGCGCACGCACGCACCCCGGAGGCAGATGCAGGCAGATCTCTGTGAGTTCAAGGCTAGCCTGATCCACAGAGCTAGTCCCAGGACAGCCAAGGCTACACAAAGAAACCATGTCTTAAAAAAAAAATCCATCAATACCTAGATGTGGTGGCATATGCCTTTAATACCAGCACTCCAGGAGGCAGAATCTCTGTGGGTTTGAGGTCCGCCTGGTCTACCTAGGGAATTCTAGGCCAAGTAGGGCTATGTAATTAAACCCTGTCACAAACAAACAAACAAATATCAAAGGCAGATGGAGAGGGTCTTTTGAAGTCCCACCCCTATCTGAGGTGCTAAAGGTAGTTAGTGGCTACTGGGGGAGAGAGAGCCATTTTTCTTTGAAAGGGGTGGCCATGCCTCAGGGGATGACCACACACACAAACAAAAATGGCAGCGCTAATTGGATTTAGTGAGGTTTTTTTAAGACAGGAAGTAGGGGATATGATGAAAATATGTTGTGGGGGTGGAAGAAGCTGGAAGAAACGGTGGGAATGGGTATAACCAAGATACATTGTATACATGCATGACGCTTTCAAAAAATGAAAAATAACTAAGGGCTGGAGAGATAAATCACTTAAGAATGCTTACCGCTTTTCCAAAATAAATAAATAAATAAATAAATAAAGTAAGTAAGTAAGTAAGTAAGTAAGTAAGTCAAATGTATTAGCAGCAGAGGGAATTTGCTTCTCCCTGTCTCTGAGCCTGTCTGTACCCCTCTCAGGCTCCTGTGCACTCTGACCTCCTCCAGCTGACTCCATCTTGAGTACTATCTAGGGGGTACCCTGAGTCACACAGACATAGCGAAGGGCCACACAGCTTGAGTTATCACGGTACAAAGTGATACTGCTGGGACCACATGGTGGCTGCCATTACCCATTTTGGAAGTCCACTAGGCTGGCTGAAGACCCTTGTTGAGCTTCCTTCATGAGCTGGGACACTGGCTAAATCCCCACTGATACACACACAAACACACACACAAAATAAACAAATAACCAAACAAACAAATAAATAAAGGGTTTTTTTAATATAAAGAAAATGTTAGATACTGGTGAGGAGATAGCTCAGCAATTAACAGCACTGGCTGCTGTTGCAGAAAATCTGGGTTTGGTCCCCAGCACCCAGAGTGGCTCACAGCCATCCAGAACTCCACCTCCAAGAGACCCAACCCCCTTTTCTGACCTTTGTGGGCACCAGGCACCCATGTGGTACACATACATACATTCAGGTAAAACACTCAAACACACAAAATAAATACACCTAAAAAATACAAGAAATGAAAAAGGAAATCCATAAAGCAAAATGGCACAATGGATATATTCTGTGCATGCCCACAGGGGCTTTTAAAAAGAGAAGAACACTCATACCAATCTATATTTGACAAGGAGAATTTCAAATTATTGAATTGGCTAAAGGCAATCACTTTCTGTGTAATAAAAGTCAGAATCTGGTTTAAACTGGCATTTATTGAGTGATTATTATATGCCTGATGTGCTTGGTGTTGTACATATGTCATTTAATCAGCAAGTTATAATAGCTCTGGATTTGTCAGTATTGGATTATACAACTAGTGCATACATAAAATAAATATTATAAAATACACTGAGGAGTTAAATGATGCGGCAGTCCAAAGCCAAGTAGCAGCTGAAGCTGAGCTTCATGGTTGACGAGATTAAGCTGACAGAAGACATGGTTCCCTAGTCTATGAAGAGCAGATATTCATCTTAAACATCCATCAAACAGTTATAAAGTCTGGACACGTTCTTGGCCACAGTTGAAGCTTCACAAAACGTTTTGGAAGCAAATATATTACAGTTTACATTCTCAGAACAGAAAAATTAGTCAAATCCATTTCCTTTTGCATGTAGGGGGCGGCTGCGTGGGTGCTGGCAGGTTGGTTGCATGCATATGAGTATGCATGTGTTCACCCATGCATGTGCTTGTAGAAATCAGAGCAAGATGTGGGATGTCTTCCTCCATTGCTTTCCATCCTATTGCCTAGAGACAGGGTCTCTCACTGAACGAGAATCTTGCCTTTTTGTTGAGACTAGCTGACCAGTGAGCCCTGGACGTCACCTCCACCCAACCCCGCCTCCCCATGCTGAGACAGCACAGACAGCTGTGTGTTATGTGGATCCCAGGGAGTCAAACTCAGGTTCCCATGTTTGCAGAGCAAGTGCCCGTACCCACCGAGCCATCTCCCTAGCACCCCCGCCACGCAAAAGTATTTTTAGACAAAAACTAAACTGCTGGACTTTGAAGCATTTACTAAGACTGCTACAAAAAACAATGTCAAGATAAGAAAGGATGTAGATTATATAATGCCAAGATGTGGTCAAGGTTATATCCAGAAGGATCTTTCTATTAAGTATTCTATTGCAAATATAGAGAGAATATAAATTAAGTGTGCCACTTAAAAGGTAAACAAGAAATAAAAGTAGTCAGAACTAAGCACAGTATGCATATTCTGTAATTTAACATATTAAAAATAGCAAAAGAAATAATAAATATAAATATTTATAATTTTACAAATTATAAATAAATATAAATAAAGCCAAACACTAGATCCTTGGAATAAACAATAACAAAAGCCAGATAAGAGTTTAGTAAAAGCAAACAAATAACAAGGAAGCTACAATGGCAAGTTAAAAGAAAAACAGTGATAGGAAAAAATGCAGAGAATCTTTTTTTGTTTAATTATAAAAATAGTGTTGATAATTAAGTTTAAAATCTCAAAAGGCCTACAGAATGAAGAACTCTCTAGAGGATAAAAGACCATTATAAATCATCAAAATGAATCCAAGAAGTAAAAATGTACTCATAAGCTACCAAGATAGAATTATCATAGTAATGGCTTATGATAATTCAAACTGCTTTCCAAACATCATCTGAGATTTCCCTCTCACAAATCTCGGAATTGATCACTGGTGAATTCTTTCTTTAAAAAATTTAAGATTTATTTTTAATTATATGTATGTGTGTGGGGAATATAGGCGAGTATGTGCATATGAGTGCCATGCCCCCAGAGGCCAGCAGGGGGAGCCTGAGCCCTGGAGCTGGCATTCCAGGTAGTTGTGCACTGCCTGATATGGGTGCCAGGATGCAAATTGCAAGGGTGATACACACTCTAAACCATGAAGCCATCTCTCCAGCCACAGTAAATTCTTTTAAGCTGTCAAAGACCTGATATTTCTCAAGCTACATAAATTACTCAAAAGCATAAGAAATTACTCAGATCTCTCAATGATGTAAGGTTAAGCCATGAGACCAAAACTTCACAAAAATAGCACCAACTTAAGATAGAGGCAAGTGTCCTTATATAAAATAGCAAGAAAAGGGAGTCTACATGGAAAGACTGTGTACACTGAAAATGCTATGATAATGGGGCTGGAAAGATGGCTCCACAGTTAAGAGTACTGGATGTTCTTCCAAAGGATCCAGGTTCAATTCCCAGCACCCACATGGTGGCTCAAACCATCTGTAACTCCAGTTTTAAGAGATCCAATACCCTCTTCTGGCCCCCACAGGAACCAGGCATATACATGGTAGGTACATAGACATACATGCAGACAAAATGATAAATTGTATAATGACAATTTTGTAAAAGACAAAGATGGTTCAACATTGATCCTAAGTTGTACATTTTTTAGCTTCTCTAAAAAGATGTCTTCCAATTCATAATGTCTTACAATTAATTCTCATTTTTTCTTTTTCAGCAGTATACAAAACTTCTCAATAGCGTGCAAAATAATGTTTTTATAATCAATGATGTATTCATTTAAATAAATTTTAGTAATACAGAAACCTCATAATAAAAAGTTTTATGGGAAAAAAGTAAACTCATGAAGCTATAGACACAGCTCAGCAGTTAAGGGTACTTCCTGTTCTTGCAGAGAACCAGAGCCCTGTTCCCAGCACCATTCAAGCAGCTCACAATTGCCTTCAACCTTACCTTCAGGGGCTCAAACACCCTCTGCTGGCTTCTGCAGGCACTGCACTCACAATAACATACACACAGAGAGATGCACACATATAACATAATTAAAAACAAAGCTTTCAGATAAATAAGTTACAAATAATTATGAACTCATCTCAATGGATGTGTTAAAGGCATTTCTTCATTCTCAGTATCCATTCCCGGTTTCTAGCCAGGACAGTTTCTTAACACGACACGGGGCTTGTGTTTCCATCCAGTGGCTGCTGTGGTAGTTAAATGTGAAGCATCATGGGCATCCCAGTTAAAACCAAGAATAAGAACAGCACACACACTACCAACACGATGGTTGTTTGCTGTGGAGCCTTGGACCACTCCACAAAGCCCTAAAAGGGGAGGAAGGAGAGGGGGAAAAAGAAAGTATCAGCAGTGAAAAGGAAGAAGGTTGACACCATTAACCACAGGAAAATAGGAAAATATGAGCGTATGGTTAAGGGCCTTCCAGCAGAGAAGCTGTTGGAATTTAAAACTGCATGACAGAATATCCAGATATTAGATACACATATGGAAGCAAGCAACGTACCTGTGTTTTGAAGAATAAAAATTTCAGAACAAAGGATGAAAATTGCAAAATATCACTGTATAGAAAGACTTAGCTTTGTGACACAGGTGTGTGGTTCTGGACCCAACTCCTCTTTTACATTTCCAACCATCTATCATATTGTATTCATTTTAAATATAACAGCCTCATGGAACTTTTTCCCACATGTTTATAGTGTGTGGCATGCATGTTCACATGTGTATGGGTACACATGTATATATACACAGATGTGTGTGTGTGTGCGTGCGTGCATGTGCGTTTACATGTATGTGGAAGCCTGAAATCAACATTAGCAATCTTCCTTAGTTGATCTCCACCTTATACACGGAGGCAGGGGCTCTCACTCGAAGCAGAACTTGGTGACGTAGGGTAGTGTAGGTAGGCTGCTTGCAGCAGGGACTCCCCAGTCTCTGCCTTCCACATTCAGAGTGCTAGAATTACAGGCAGATTGCCACATGCACACAGCATTTACATGGGTTCTGAAAATCCAAACTCCATTCCTCACTCTTGTCAAGTGCTTCTCCTCTGAGCACTCCATGTCATTCCTTCAGACCCCTCCTTTGAGACACGACATCGGCCTTTGTTTTTCTCCACCCATATTTGAGGCATCAGCAAAAGCTGTTGTCTTTGCTTTCGAAGCATTTCCATAGCTAATCACTTTCTTTTATTCCTGTCACTGTAGCCAAGAACAACATCATACATCCTCTCACTACAGACAACTGTTTCCCTTCTTTTAAAAAAATTCACTTTAGCTTCGTAAACTTTTAATTTTTATTGTATATGGGGAAGGGTGTCTTGCCTGCATGTATGTCTGTATTCCATGTGCATGCCTGGTACCCCAGGAGACCAGAAGAGGGATTCAGATGCCCTGGAACTAGAGTTACAGATGGTTGTGAGCTGCCATGTGGGTGCTGGAGATTGAACCTGAGTCCTCTGGTTCAATTAAAGTTAAGAGCCGGCACTCTTAACTGTTGAGCCATCTCTCCAACCCCAGATTTATATTAAATTACATGTATATGTGTGTCTGTTCGTAGTAGTGGGTTCTGTACACATAAACGCAGTACCCACAGAGGCCTGAAGAGGGCACCGGATCCCCTGGAGCTGGAGTTACAGGTGGCTGTGAGATAAGTGACACGGTGCTGGGAACCGAACTTGGAGCCTCTGGAAGTACGGAAATCACTCTTAATCATTGAACCATCTCTTCAGCCTCAGATACCTGCTTCTAAGTACTCAGACTCATTTTTCTCTTCCCAGGTCAGACAGTGTTTGTTATGGTCTGATTCTGGATATCTCCTACAGACTCCTGCTCTGAGTGTTTGTTTACAGCCAGCAGTGCTGTTCTGGGAGGCTGTGGAGGCTTCAGGAGATGGGTACGAGCTGAGGGAAGTAGATCTGGGGATAAACCTATACAAAGCCCTGAGTCCTGATTCTGTTTCCCTTCCTTGGTTTTATCTAGGCGAATAGCCTCCACCATGTGCTCCAACCGCCATTAACTGAGCTGATGGACTAGAACCGTCGAAAATCATGAGCTGAAATGAATCTTGCTGCTCATGTATCATCAGGTGTTGTCGTAGCAATGACATGAATGCTAACTAGTATGTTGTTTCTTCTAAAGTTGAAGTAAATTTGAAAATGACCAATATGCACTCACAAGTGTGTGTGTTCTGTATTACTCTATTTTAATAAAGCTTTTTTTACTTTACATCGTGATCACAGCTTCCCCTCCTTCCTCTCCTCCCAGTCATTCCCTCTCACCTCCTTCCCTCCACATTCCCCCTTCCCTTTCTCGTCAGTGAAGGGGAGGCCTCCCATAGATATCAACCAGCCTTGGCATATCAAGTTGCAGGAAGCTGCAATCGGGATGTTAATTAATTAAATAATTAATGGAAAAACATCTAAAAATTAGTTTTAGAAGCAGTCTCATGTAGCCAAGACGGACTCGAACTCACTACATAGCCAGGAATGACCGACCCTTGTGCTTATTTCCTGCCTCTCCTCCCTAAGGGCCGGGATCACACCTTCATGCTATGCGAGAGATCAAACCCAGGGTTTCGGGGGGAGAGAGAGGGTGACTGCATGAAGGGGATGGGTGGATGGGTAGGCGGGCAGACGGATGGAGGCATGCTTGGTATTATAGGTGGGTTGACAAGTGAGTAGATGAGTGGGTGAATGGATGGATGAGTAGAGTGAGTGAATGGATGGGTTGATAGGTGGATAGATGAGTGGACAGATGAATAGGTGACTAGATAATGGATGTATGTATGAATGGGTGGATGTATGTATGAATGGGTGGATGAATGTATGAATGGGTGGATGGATGTATGAATGGGTGGATGAATGTATGAATGGGTGGATGAATGTATGAATGGGTGGATGGATGGATGGGTGGATGGATGGATGAATGGGTGGATGTATGTATGAATGGATGGATGGATGGATGAATGGGTGGATGGATGTATAATGGGTGGATGGATGGATGGATGGATGGATAGATGGATGGATGAATAGATGGCCAGACAGATGGATGGATGAATGTATGAATGGGTGGATGGATGTATAAATGGATGGATGGATGGATGAATGTGTGGATGGATGTATGAATGGGTGGATGGATGGATGGATGGATGGATGAATGGGTGGACGTATGTATAATGGGTGGATGGATGGATGGATGGATGAATAGATGGCCAGACAGATGGATGGATGGACTGATTATGAGTGGAGAGCTATGAATGGTTTGTATGCATAGAGATACACACATATCACATGGGGACCTCCACTATGTCCGACCACCACAGGGATGTGGACTATCTCCTGCCAGAGTGCACTTGGAACTTCTGAGCAGTGAAGTCATTCCAGGCCGAGGAAGGAAATGTAATGACTCACTGAGATCTTCGTAACATTTACATTAAAGGAAATGATCCCTACACATACCTGGGAGTCCTCTAACTCATCATCTTCCTCCACTGAGCTCCAGTCCTGAGACAGCCCAGTCTCTTGGGAAGACAGATCTGGGAAGGCAGAGGAGCAGAGAAGAAGATGGCTGTGAATGAGCACGCAGACACGGGGTCAGGCTCCCCAAGCTTTCTCCATGGTATCCTCTCCCTTCTGTATCAAAGACCTGACACATTTAAACACACACATATTCACATGTATATACACACATACACTCAGGAGCACATGCATACATATACAAACACACACACAAACACACACACAGATATATACATGTATATACACATACACAAACACATACAGATAATACATACATACACACACATTTACAAACATACAAATATATAGATAGATACATATGTATACACAAGCACACACATACACACACACAGTTCATGTGGGGCTGATAACATATCAGGCCTGAATTCTGATCCTGCAGCTGACTGCATGACTAAAACTGGACCATCTGATGGGCTCCTCCGTTCACCTGTCCAGAAGGTAAAAGCTCCCTAATGGGCTTCCAGCCAAGATCTGAGTGAGGGAGCAGAGAAACTATTCCAGAAGCTTCCCTACCTTCCACAAGACAAGCTTGCAGGGAAGAAGTCCCCACATAGTTACTACCTATGCATCCTTCTCAGTCCTGAGCTGAATAAAGTTAGTAGAGATTGTTTTGTTTTATGAAACTCGGGTTAGCCTGGAAATCTCTCTCTAAGTCAGGTGAGCCTCACACTCATGAGCAATCCTCCTGCCTCCGCCTCCCAAGTACTGACAAGAGTCAGCCACCATGCCTAGCTTAGAGTCGACTTTTATTTTCTTTTAACAGGGGTGAGTGGAGGCACACGCCATAGCACGCGTGTGTAGGTCAGAGGAGGACTTCTGGGAATCAGTTACCTCCTACCACGTGGAGATCAAACTCAGGTCATCGGCTTTAACAACAAGCATCCTTACCCACTGATCCAGCATGCTGGCCCAGGGGTCCGTCTTAACTGACCTCTTACCTGTCACTTTTGACTTCTTAAACCAACCTGGGTTCTAGAAAGCAACTAGAAGCAGTCTTAACGCCCTTCACACCTCTGACACCTCTGACATTTGAGCTGCATAGTTATTAGAGGGGAGGGCTTGAATCATTCCTCCTGGGTAAACAACACATTGTGACCTCCGCCCGCACAGTCTTTTGTTAGTAACCTCAGTTGTGGGGTCCCTATCTGAGATGAGAAGGGGTGTGTGTGCGTGTGTGTGTGTGTGTGTGTGTGTGTGGTCTCCACATGAAGTTTCATACAACCCCTTAGTGATCCTGGCCTTGATCATGCTATATTTCAATCTATCACATATTAATATCAAGTTGCCAGCAAAGGCTTTAAAGGTGCCTAGGAGGACTGGAGAGATGCTCAGTGCCTAAGAGGGATGGAGGGACGGAGGGACGGAGGGATGGAGGGACGGAAGGATGGAGGGACGGAGGGATTGGGGGATGGAGGGATGGAGAAATTCTTGGTGGTTAATAGCAACCAAATCAGACATAATTGCCTTTAACTCCAGCTCCAGTGGATCCTGTGCCTTCTGGCCTCTGTGGGTACTTGCATGCACTTGCTCATACACAAGCACACACACACACACACACACACACACATTTCTTTTAAGTTTAAATGTTTAGGTATCCCAGCATTCCCTGTTCCTCACTACCCTCCAAGGACCCATGAGAATAAACCAACCCAACATGTGAGGAAAGCCATCTAAGAAACAAGTCTGCCAGCTCCCTAGAATCCTATAGGCAAGTGCAAAAACAGACAACAGAAGAAATGCCCCTGAGGTCACGTCAAACTGCTGACCTACAGAATTATAAACCCATACATGCTTGTTGCATCAAGTGACTAAGCATTATGCAGAAAACAAAACAAAAAACAGCCAGTTCAGCCTTCCACAAGGCAGTGGGTGACAGAAGGAATGTTCAGCTTCTCCTCAGTCCCCCTTGCCCACTTCCCACAGGACCGCTCACCTTTCTCATCACTGTCATAGCTGGAGGCCCCAACCTCCACAGCCTCCCAGTCCTTGGGGAAGGTGGAGTGGCATGGCTTCTCCCAGGCCCTGCTGTCCCGAGGCAGTAGTCCCTGTGTCTGCTCAGTCCTGAGGCTCTGCATCTCCTCAGGAGGAGGCGTGGCTTCCAAGGCAGGCTTTTTCTTTTTTACTTCTCTTGTTCCAGTGTCCTGTGGGGTTCCTCAGGTACAGGATTCAAAACCTAAGGACTGACCGACACGAGATCATCCAGTGATTAGTGCTAGGCGTGGTGCCGAACCCTAGAAAGAGAATGGGGGGCGGAGAGATGGTTCAGTAGTTAAAAAGGAAGGGTTTACTCTTAACTCAGTCTGAAGAATCGGCCTATCACTTGGTGGGGGAGGGGCACGGCTGCAAGGGCAGGAAGTATCAGGTCGCCTTGCTTGCACAGTCAGGAAGCAGAACGTGGCAGATGCTAGTGCTCAGCTCGTGTTCCCCTTTTTAGTCAGCCCTGTACCCCACTCCCTGGATGGCAGCTGCCCTTCAGGGTGGGTTTTCCTAATCAGTTAAAGCTATCTGGAAACATCTTCGTAGACATAGCCAGAGGGTTTCCATGGTGATTCTAAGTTGCCATCGTAGCTGGTAATTTAGATGACAAGATTAACCTTCATGGTAGCAGATTCCGAGCAGTGTGCTTTGAAACAAAAATACTTATTGAAGAAAAATCTAGAAAATGTGGGGTGTGGATTTGATGAAACCCAATGTTTATTACTGACTTTATTGATTGTAGGGATGACATACAGAAATGTAAAAGGCTGTCTGTCTGCCTGCCTGCCTGCCTGCCTATTTGGTCTGTCTGCCTGTCTATGACAAGATCTTGTTATATAGCCCAGGCTAGTCATAACTTACTGTGTAGCCCAGTCTTGACTCCAAATCACAATACCCCCATCTTAGCTCACAAAGTGCTATGATTACAAATGTTTGCCACCACAACAGGAATACCCACCTTTGTTTTAAGATATTCTTGAAGTAGCTGGAGGAAATTTGATGTGATAGCTGCAAAAATACTTTTTTGCAAAAATAGACATCTCCCGATAACAGTTATATACTGGGATGGCCAGCTTTATCAGCTTGACACAATATAGAACCACCTAGGGATAGAGTATTAATGAGAGGTGGCCTACATTGGGTTGGCCTGTGTGCATGTCTGTAGGCGATCATCTTAGTTAAGTTGAGTGGGAAGGCCTAGCCCACTGTGGGTGACACCATTCCCTAGGCAAGGGTGTCAAATTGTGTAAGAGTGGAAAAATTGAGCTGAGCATCAGCAAGCAAGTGAGCATGGAATGCATTCATTTCTCTCTGCTTCTTCACTATAAATTTGATGGAAACAAGTGTCTCAAGTTCCTGTCAACGTGACATCTCTGTAGCATGGAATTGTGTTCTACATTAAACTCTCCAAGAACTTGCCTGTTGTCAAGATATTCTATTACAGTAACAGAAATGAAACTAGAACGTATGTGTAAGCTAAAAAAAAAGCTGATGTCATGGAAGAGTTTTGTTACATTAGTGTGAGGTAGTGTCTGGAGCCTGGGGAGAGTACAGGGGAAGGAGACAGAGTAAGAGAATGAAAAAACAGCTCAAGTGTTCAGTTTTTCATTAATAGGAACAGCTGTGGGGTGACTACAGTTAACCTCAAGTAACTGAATACTCAGAACAACAAATAGGATTTTGAACATTCTTTTTGTTTTGTTTTGTTTTTTGTTTTTTGTTTTTTGAGACAGGGTTTCTCTGTGTAGCCCTGGTTGTCCTGGAACTCACTCTGTAGACCAGGCTGGCCTTGAACTCAAATCCACCTGCTTCTGCCTCCCAAGTGCTGGGATTAAAGGTGTGCGCCACCACTGCCTGGCTGAACATTCTTGTATAAAGAAATACCCACTATCTAAGGGGATAGACAGCCAATGACCCTGATCTGGTTACACTACGCTCTTTGCAATGTACCACTTAACCCCTTGAATATGTTCAATGACCATGTGTATATTAAAGAAATACTTCTGAAATAAAAAGGAAACAAATGGCTACCAAGCTGGCTCAGTGGGTAGAGATGACTGCCAGCCAAGTCTGACAACCCAGGGTTATGTGAGGGGAGAGAATTGACTCCTGTGAGCTGTTGTCCAGCCAGCTGTGTCCACAGGCATGCGTGCATGATACATACACACAAATAAATAAAATAATACAACTAAGTAAATAAAATATAATACAACTTTTAAAATTTGCTCTTAAGGGATGGGGAGAAGTAACTAAAAGAACACAAGCATGACAATAAAGCCTAATGACTCTGGGAAAAATACCTGAAAACTTTTCATAAGTGAGATACATAGGCCAGGAAGATGGCTCAGTCAGAAAATGTTTGCTGTACAAACATGGGGACATCACACCTTGGAATGAGGCTCTCTGGGACTCACTGGCTATCCCTAACCAACAAGGCCCAAGCTACTGAGAGACCCACTCTCCAAAACCAAGGTGGGTGGCGCCTGAGAAATGACTCCCAAAGTTGTTCTCTGACCTTCATACCCCCCAACACACAAACATGTACACTCCCACATGATGGTGCACTGCACCATACACACACATACACACACACACACACACACATCATACAATATATACTAAATAATCTCTATAGTAAATAAATAATGCAATAGCACATACTTCTGTGAAATTGTGTATACTGGCTATGCAAACCATATCTTTCCTATCTGTATGACCAGTTGTCACTGTGGCAGTTTGAACAGGAATGGCCCCCGTAGACTTGTGCGTTTGAAACCTTGACTCCACAGGGAGCGGCACTATTAGGATGTGTAGCCTTGTTAGAGGAAATGTGTCGCCGTGGGAGGAGACTTTGCGGTCTCATATGTTCAAGATACACTCAGTGTGTCTCACAGTGTCTCTCTGCTGCTTGAGGATCAAGATGTAAAACTCTCAGTCCCTTCTCTAGCACCAGGTCTGCCTACACAATGTCATATTTCCCAGCATGACAATAATGATCTAAACCTCTGAAATTGCAAGCAAACCCCAAGTTTTCCTTTATTAGAGTTGTGGTCATGGTGTCTCTTCACAGAAATAAAACCCAAACTAAGACAACCACATATATATATATATATACACATACACATACACATACACATACACATACACATACACATACACATACACATACACATACACATACATATACATATGCGCATGGGTGTCTTTGTGTATATGTGCCAGAGTGCAGTACCTGTGGAGGCCAGAAGAGGGCATCAGATTCTTCTGGAGGTGCAGTCAGAAGAGGTTGTGAGTTGCCCAACATGGGTTCTGGAAATCAAACTTGGGTTCCCTGGAAGAGCAGTGTGCTCCCCTAACTGTTGAGCCGCTGGCCCTTTACAGCCCACCAACCATCATCTGTCTCTCTTGGAGATGTCTCAAAGGCCTCTGAAAGCCACAAGTAAATGCACTGTTTCCCAAGGTAACTCAGCTCTCTATACGCCCAGCCCATTCTCCTCCCACATCCTCCCTCTTGCTCAGAACCCCTCCATCCTTCCCAGAAGCCTTTTCTTTGCCTCATACTGCATGCAGCCAACCAGCAAGCATGCCTGCTGTTCCGGTAGAAAACACTTAGCTCTCTGCCTGCTGCCCCAGCCTTCACCCTTGTCTGAGGCTTTGGTCTTTTGGATCCAGAAGCTTCTGTCATGATCTCCCTATGTCCTGAGACTCACTCATTACTCGTCCCTTCACCTTGACGATGCCAACCCTTAAACCTCCTCCAGTCCATTCAATAGCTCTGTGCTGGCAAGATTGGTTAATGAGCAAAGATGCCTGCTGCCAAGCCTGATGCTCTGAGTTTGATCCCTGGAACACATGGTGGAAGGAGAGAACCACCTCCCATAAGTTGTCTTCTGACCTCCATATGGGCACCAGGCCCCACCCCCACCTCCCCACACACAAAAGTAAATAATAAATTGTAAAATACCCACCAGCTTTGTCTTTCTCTATTCTGGTTGGTTTCAGTGGTATAGTTTTTGTTCATGGGCAAAGGGCACCATCTCCTTACCCTAACATCCAAAGAAACACAGGCAAAGATTTTAGACCCACCCAAGAATTTGTGGAAGAAAAACACTTGTTCTCAAGTGGGACCGGGGAGAACACCTCAGCTTGGTGCCAATGCCGATGTATATGTTGTTTGTTCAGCTGGTTGGTTTTAAGTTTGGTGTGTGTGTGTGTGTGTGTGTGTGTGTGTGTGTGTGTGTGTATGCGCTCATGCATAAATCAGAGGACGGCTTTCCGGAGTCGGCTCTTTCCTTTCTCCATGGGATCCAGGAATGGAACTCAGGTCACTAGGTTTGTTTAGCATATATTTTTACTCTCTAAACCATCTTGAAGACCCTGTTTTGTTCTATTTTGTTTTTAGACACTGCCTAGGTAGCTCATGGTAGCCATGAACTCACTGCATATCACCAGCTGGCCTCAAACTCCTGATCTTGCCACTGCCTCCTGGACACTGAGGCTGCAGGTGTGAGATGCCACACTCTGCGGCTGTGTCATCAGTCTCTTTCCTGTTGGGGTGCCCCTCAGTTAGGAAACGGGGAGCAGCCCTAGGAGGTCTGCTATCTGCTTACTTTTGCTGTGTTTGTTTGCATTGTCATTCTCAACAACTGTAAAAAAACTAACGATGAAAAGTGACTGCCGGCACTCGCTCTCCCGCTGCGGTAGTCTCCCTGAGAAATCCTCAGAGGTAGCTGTTAAAAGCAAGCTGACTCACAGGCTCTGGTGGGAGTGTCTGTTAGCCCAACAACCACTTAGTAAAAGCCCACAGCACCATCTGCTAAAGCTGAGCCTCTGCATACAGCCTCCCTAAAGCAATGTTCCCACCCTGAGCACCTACGGAACACAGAGGGAAACTATCCTCTGTCTACTTGTTTGTGGAAGCTGTCACACTTCTGTCTATGTTTAAAAAAAAAAAAAAAAAAAAAAAAGCTGTTCAGGAACCAGGTACATGGCTCAGTGGGTAGAGCATGCTGCACAAACATGAGGACTTGAGTTCAAATCCCAAGCACCTGTATATCTGTAAGCCCAGCACTGGTGGAGGGGCAGAGACAAACATCCAGGAGCCCGCTGGCCAGCCAGTGCAGCCCACACAGTGAGCATCCACCAGGCTCAGCAGTTTTGAGACCCTGGTTCAGTTCCCAGCACCCACATTAGACAGTTCATAACATTCTATAACTTCATTTCCAGGGGATCTGACATTTTCTTCTGGCCTCGGAGAGTACTTCCATGCAAATACGTGTACAGCCTGCTTCAAAACTAAATAATGTATAAAACAAAAAAAGAATTGAGGAAAACATATATTTTTACTCCCTAAACCATCTCGAAGACCCTGTTTTGTTCTATTTTGTTTTTAGACACTGCCTAGGTAGCTCAGGGTAGCCATGAACTCACTCTATATTACCAGCTGGCCTCAAACTCCTGATCTTCTTGCCTTTGGTCTTTGTGTGCCAACATGGGCTGCTGTGTGCACACATTTGCATATGCTATACACAGACACAGAAGAACAACACAAAACTGTTTATCTTCATAATCGAAGCTACTGTATACACCTTCATAGTTAACTGGGACTGGAAAAGTGGCTCAGCAGTTACAAGCACTGGATGCTCTTGCAGAGGACCCAGGTTCAGTTCCCAGCACCCACATCCAACAGCTCGCGACACTCTGTAACTCCATTTCCAGGGAATCTAACATCCTCTTTTGGCCTCTGAGGGTACTTGCATGCACATGCACATACACATACACAGATACACAAACACATTTTTAAAACTACAAATATTTTAAGACGATTAACTGCTGGGTCTGGGCAGTTGGTAGCACTCTTGCCTGACATGCTCAAAGCCCTGGGACCGATCTCCAGTACTACACAAAGTGGACAAAAACTGTGGTGGCACAGTCATCTAACCCCAGCTCTCAGAGAGCAGACGTAGCAGGAACATAAGTTTGGCTACATAACGAGCTCAATATACCAGCCTGGGTTACATGAGACCAGAAAACAGATCTTAACAACCACTGGATGCAGCTGGAACATCTGTAATCTCAGTATTCCAAAGACCAAGACAGCATCTCAGATTTGAGGCCAGCTTAGACTATGTAGTATCTCTAAGAAGTCAAACAAACTATTATACCTTAGTTGTCTATCAACAGGAAGTGGGTAAACAAATTCCCATTTATATATACAAGGGAGACAGGTGTGGATTAACTCAAAATATATATTTGCCTGCATATAAACTGCATTACCTAAACATGAACATGTCTCCATATGAATACATATTACATATTTAAATATATGAAGACCCATGTTCAAATCCCAAGCACTTACATTTTTAAAAACTGCCAGTACAGTGGGAAGAGAATGGCTACAATTTTCTGGCTGCTGACCATCACCAGTAACAGGTAAAGCAAGCACAGAGATAACTGTGTGCCCTTGAATGTAGCCTCTGCTGTGCACTTGCTGTCTGTCCTAGGACACACGACCGACCTCTCTGAGTTCGACTTGCTCACCTATGAAAGACGCCAGTGACAACAGCAGCCACCTCACAGAGACGTTTTGAGATTTCTGCAGGGACAGAACACCCGCTGAAAAAAAGTTTAAAGGGTATGTTCCTTCTCCTTGCAATGTTGCCTTGAAGCTGCACCCTGCCTTCAAGGCTAACTGTCATAGGGTTTCCACTACTGTGAAAGACACCATGGCCAAGGCAACTCTTGTGAAGGAAAACATTTAGTTGGGGGTGGCTTAGAGTTTCAGAGATTTAGTCCATTATCATCACAGTGGGAAGCATGGCAGCATGCAGGAAGACATGCGCTGGAGGAGTTGAATGTTCTACATCTAGATCTGTGGGCAGCAAGGAGGAGACTTGCTTGTTTCTACACTGGGCAGAGCTTGAACAGAAGAGACCTCAAAGTCCGTCCCAACAGTGACACACTTCCTCCAACAAGGCCACCCCTACTCCAATAAGGCCACACTTCCTAATAGTGTCACTCCTGTTGGACTGATCATTCAAACACATGAGTCTATAAGGCCCATTTAAACCACCACACGGACCTTAATTTAAGCATCACCTCTCCATAAATAAATACTTGCTAGCCATGGTTATGAAATTTCCCAAAGACTTCTCATCAGAACTTTGGGCCAGGCCCAAAAGTGGAGTCTCAAGCGCCTATGGATAAACCGGTTGCACACTGGACAGCTACAGACATATTGTAGGTGAGCAGGCAGGACCGAACAGGGGATCCTATGTGACTTTGCAGCAGACAGAAATGCTGTCCCCAAGGATCAGAACACAAACACCTCCGGAGCACATCAGAAACAGAGCAAGAATAAAATAAATCAACCAAGAACCTCCCCCTGGCTTTCACTTCACAACTGAAAAACAAAACACAAATCCAGAGGAATATGTCACAAAGCAAATAAGAACGAGCAGCCATATTACAGCATGGGAGGAACAACGGGGAGCACTGAAGACTGTAGGAGATCAATCAAGTGTCCTTTTGGGAAGAGCTGCCCTGCCTCTGCAGCCTGGCAAACATAAGGGACGCAAGGCTGTCACCTGATTTCTCAGGAGACTGGAAAATTATCTTTGCGGATGACATTATTTGCACTTTTAAATTTTTAAAATAAAATTGCATTTTTCTAATGAATTCACAAATAAAAGCATCTCATGATCAGGTTAAAGAACCTGTTCAAATACATGCCCAGACCCACAACTATGTTTATCTCAGTGATGAGATATACATACACAGTTGGAAAGCCCATTCTGAAGCCCTGTAGCTTTCCTTAGGATTTTGCACTTACTACTAACACTTACTTTAGTTAATTGGTTGGTTAGTTACGTATGTCATGGTTCTTACTGCTTCAGTACCCAGGAAGTTGAATTCACTTATCTATCATTAAAAAAAAAAAAACATGAAAAAAGTTAAAACTTAAAAAAAATCTTTGTAACATCTTTCTAACTCATGTCCTTTTGCCTGTGTTCCACCCTTCTTCATCCTCATCACCCTCTCATGGTCCCTTTTCTTCTGGCTTTTATTTATTTATTTTTGAGACAAAGCCTGCAGTTTTACAATGGTCACTATTTCAAATGTTTAAAAAGGAAACATCCCACGAGACAAATAGCAATGTCAGATGTACAGTAGACCCTGGGGCTGACAGTTTGCAACTTCAGTGAGAGCTGGGAGTATATGTTAGGGGGAATGAAAAGACAAGACTGTGGGCATGGATGACTAACAGAGTTAGGGACGTAGCTGGGTGGTAGAATGTTTGCCTAGAACTCTGTCTCCCGCACTGGGCACTGTGTTGGTAAATTCCGCACCAGGATGCGCTCCCCAGCAACCCCAGCACTTAGGAGGTAGAGGCAGGAGGATCAGGCCAAGATCATTCTCACCTACATAGTAAATTTTGAAACAAAATTGAGATACAAGAATGTGCACACGTGTGTGTGTGTGCACGTGTGTGTGCATGTGTGTGTGTGTGCACACACACACACTTTGATGGGAAGAAGTGTTAGCGTATCCTTAGATCGGGTTTGTTTATTGCTTTACTTTCTATATGAACCATGGTTTATTACAGGTTTAGGCTGAGAAGCAGGAGCTAGAGAAGAAAACTACAGGTGTGGGGTAGGGAGAGTGACACTGTGGCTCAGCGAGTAAGAGGCACTTGCTGCCAAGCCTGACCGTATGAGTTCAATTCCTAGGAGAACCAACTTCCACAAGTTGTCCTCTGAATTCTGTGTCCTATACAAATAAATGTTACTTTAAAAGAATAAACAAGGCGGGTAGGAGCCAGTGGCACACGGGAAAACTTGGGGAAAGGGGGAAGATTAGCGGATCCTGCAAGTACAGTTGATGGAAGAGGTGAGGAAGAGAGGGGAAGCCAGGGGATTCACACCTCACTATCTGTGGGATTCTTTGTGAATTAGAAAACGCATCACCTGCAGAGGGGAAAGAATGAGAGTCAGTGAGAGGGAGGAAAATCGTCATAATAGCGATGATGATGACGATGACAACGACGACAAGGACTACAGTAGCAAAGCACTGTTTCCTGTGGTGAACGTTCTGGTTGCAGGCCCTACTTAGTAGTTACAGTTATGGCTCCATTGCACAGATGGGCAAGGGTCTCCATCACAGCCGCAGAGCTCAGGAGAGTTGGGACTGTTCCTTAAACACTGCACCTGTGGGACTTCACACCCTATGCTCCTGGCCTGTGGGAGGATACCACACACGGAGCCCAGGACAGACACAAAGCATCCATGCTACCAGATTCGCAGGTGCAGTGAGCCCAACAGAGAAACTGGGGACCTCCCTTAGAGGATAGAGAGACAATGTACACGTGCACAGACCCACGAAGGAACGCAGGCGCCTGAGTGTAAGCTTCCTGCAGGATCCCTTCTCCCTGGTTGCTGAAATTCATGTTCGATGTTCAGGCACCGAGTAAACGACCAGGTTAACAGAACAGAGGACCCAATCTGGTTAGACGCCTCTCCCCGCCGTCTTCTCCCACATAGACCCTCCATTCCCATACCCCAGACCTAGAGCAACTGTCCTGTGAACCCGCCCACACCAGAAACACGCATGCACATGCATGCACAGTCACACGTGAATGCCCACGCCCGCAGCCCAATCTCCCGCTCCCTTCCCGCCTGCGGGGTCCCTCTAAGGACTCACCCTCCCCAATCAGACCCTTCCAGGCACTGCAGAGCTGGAGCTGCAAGGACTGCGGCTGCGCAGAGAAGCTGCGGGTGGGAGGTGGGACGTCGGGGGAAGAGAAGGAGGCGGCCTTCTCTCTTCCTCCTCCTCCCTGCCGGGAGCCTGCGGCTGAAGAAAACTGGAGACAGATTGCAGTAGTGACAGAGCCTGTGGTGTAGTTGCAGGAGAACCGATGTTGTACAGGTCCTGAGGGTCTAGTCAAGGTGGAGTGCGTCCTCCATCCCCAATTAAGTTATGTCACAGCCCAGAGTGCAGACACCTGCTACAGCCAAGATTTTTACATGTGCCCCTCCCAGGTTCTCTATTCTAAAAACCCCCGGTTCTAGGGTGAGAGGAGATTGTAAGGAGCTCAGACAAAGGCATGTCAGCCTGACGCCCTAAGGTTCCACAGCTGGAGTGGGGTGCTGGCTGTGTCATCTAGGGATATTACTTAATATTTCTGTGCCTCAGTTTTCCAGTCAGCTAAGTGGGAATCATAGGAATAACCGCCACCACTCTCAGGATTTCTGTTAAGGTAAAAATGAGAAACTAATACATGCAGGGTTGTTTATTGCTGTTTTGTCTTTTTCTGAGGTCAAATCTATAGCCCAGACTGAACTCACTACGTGTCCTTGAACTTCTGACCCTCCTGCCTCTAGCTCCCTATCGCTGGAGTTATTAGGGATGTGCCACCAAGCCCCATTTAACATGCAGAGTTCTTAGAGAGTGTCCAATAACTGTTAGTGGTATCATAATCACCATCATTCCAGTTTTGCAACATTTGAGACCTTTGCCAAGTTGCTCTCAGAAAGGTCACATTAAATTTTTTTTTAATTCAGGTGGATGAAGACATTGATCCATCAGCAGTCAGGAGCTCCCATACACAACCATCTGTCACTCCAGCTCCAGGGCATGCGATGCCTTTTTCTGGCCTTCATGAGCAACTTGTACTCAGATGCATGAACAGACTCACACATATAAAGTTTTTAAATAATTTTTTAAGGTTATGACTGAGCTGTAGGTGAGGAAACTTATTTTCACTTATGTCCCTGGTAAATTTATTTTCATTTTTCTAGTTTGTCATAAAATAGAGCAAATGTGACCGTCAATTAGATTAATTTTCTCTAAGAACAGAAACACTAACCAAAAACAGATTACAGGAGGAAAGGATTTATTTAGCTCATGGTTCCAGGTCACAGGCCATCAGGGAAGGAAGCTGGGACAGGAACTTAAAGCAGTAACTATAGAGGAACACTGCTTGCTGGCTCACCCACGGGCTCATCTCAGCTAGCTTTCCTATATAACCGAAGATCACCTGTCCACGGAACATTGCTGCCCACAGTGGGTTAGCCCCTCCCAAATCAGTTAACAATTAAGGCAATCCTCCCACAGACACGCCCACAGATTAATAAGACCTAGAGCAGTGGTTCTTAATCTGTGGATCGTGGTCCATTTGAGGTGCAAAAGACCCTCTCACAGGGATTTCATATCAGATACCCTTCCTATCAGATATTTACATTTTGATTCATAACAGTAGCAACACAATAGTTATGAAGTAGCAATGAAAATAATTTTATGGTCAGGGGTCACCACTACACAAGGAACTGTGTTTGAGGGTTGGCAGCATTAGGAGGCTGAGAGCCACTGCCTCTCGATAGTTCCTCAATCAAAGCTTTCCTCTCAGACAACTCAAGGCCGTGTCAAGTTGACAAGTTAAAACTGTCCAGGACATTTGGGAAACAAGTGTCTGGGCATCCCTGTGACAAATAACCTAGATCAGGTTAGCTGGGGTGGTAAGGAACCTCCCTCACCAACAGTGGCCAGTGCTCCCATGATCTAGGGTTCTGGACAACATTAAAAGGGAGACCTGAGCTGGGCACAAGCATCCATCACTCCCCCCTCTGACTGTAGATGCAGTGTGACCAGCTGTTCCAAGCTCCTCCTCCTCTGACTATATACACAAGGGTGGAGCCAAAATAAACCCTTTCTTCCTTAACTTCATGGCACCAACGAAAGTAACTGAAAGAGATAGGCTTTCTCACTGGAAGATGATCTCAAGTGGGAGATTTTTTATTAAGCACATAGCAAACAAAAGTAGAAAAAATGAACAAATGAATGGCAAATAGCAGATAACAAGACACATCAGGTGTCCACGACACCCAGTGGACAACTGAAGTCACCTGATAGAGCAAAAGTAGCTTCCAGCTGATGGTTATAACATTGAGCAGACATGGGAAACACTGGTTTAACACGGCTTAACTGCCATCTGCTTTAAGTATAGTCACTGATTCAGAGTCCCAGGAAGAGCTCAGAGTTCACCCCCTACATGACCTTCCAGCATCTCTTTCCTAACATGGGCATATTTTTTTCGTACCACAGAATAAACAATGGTAATGTCTGTTGGTAATGGTTTACCTGCTGGCTCTTCTCCAGGACAGTGTGGTCTGGTTGGTTGGTTGGTTGGTTGGTTGGTTGGCTGGCTGGTTGGTTTGGTTATAGTTTTTCATGATAACCTTCTTCTATGTAGTTTTGCCTATCTTGGAACTTGCTCTGTAGACCAAGCTGACCTCAAACTTGCAGAGACATGCCTGCCTCTGCCTGAGTGATGGAATTAAAGGTGTGTACCACCACTGCCCAGTGAACAGCATGTTAACACCCTTAGTTGTTTGCTGTTCTCTGTCTTCCCTGTTACAGAGCCAGGGGTCCAGCCTGCCCTATGTTGGGAAGCCCTGGAGGGCACTTGAGATAAACAAGATGAAGTGTGGGACACATTGCTGTTTAGCTCTGAGTCTGGCTTTAACAAGCACAGACAGCATGTGTTGGGTGGAGAAGAAACATAAAGGGTTCTGTCTCTCACAGATTAACTATTGCTCCTGATACATTCAGAGAATAAGAAAGCTATTGCCCTTTGTTCTCCCGATGACACCCTCCCAGGCTCCAGTGGATAGTGCCCTGGTTAAAGTAATGGATCACAAAACAAAGCCAAAAGTCATGAACCTGGGAATTGTTAGGTCTGAGGTAGACAGAGATTGATAATCACAGGAGGGAGATAAAAGATGGTAAGGGGGACAGAGTCATGGAGTGTGTGTGTGTGTGTGTGTGTGTGTGTGAGAGAGAGAGAGAGAGAGAGAGAGAGAGTGTCAAAAATCAAAATAACACTTTTAAAATACATGATAATTTACCAATATCATTTATAACGTGCTGTCCCGTCGTTGCTGGGAGACACTTTGTGTTTTGAAAGTTAGGAGATGAGCCTCCAACCATTCCATGGACAGCTCCAAATATGAACTGAAGGGAGACGAACTGCAAAACAAAACACTCCCTTCAGTTCTCACCATCTCCTTCGGTACCAAGATGTTAGGGAAATGGCAGATTAGGGAAGACACTAGCTCATGATGTTGTGAGGGGCTTACAAGCCAGGTTCCTGAATGGACATTCAGGTGTGTACCAGTGTAAACTTTAGGATGTTGACTAACTGGATCCCAGTTTCTTTGCCTGAAAAAAAAAATATGAGGACAAGAATATTTCCTGCCTCGGAGAGTTATTCTGAGGGTTAAATGAGTTAGTGCTCATTTCTTATGCAAAGTGGGTAAAGCATTCTACTATCAGGGACCAGGGAGATGGCTCAACAAGAAAAAGTGCTTGCTGCTGAGAACTGAGTTCAGTCTCCAGGACTCACATGGTGAAAGGAAAGATCCTCTGACCCTGCATATATGCACCATGACACATGTGTGCAAACACACACACACACAATAAACAAGCAAAACAGGTTTAGTGATAGATACAATCTCCATGGATGCTTACACTTCTATGTAACATAACAACACTATTTATTCCACTTCTTTTTCATTTTGGTGTTTCTGGAGACAAGGTCTCATATAGCCCAAGTTAACCTCAAACTTGCTATATGACTGAAGGTGGCCTTGAACTATCACCCTGCCTTCACCTCCCAAGAGCTCGGATGACAAGTGTGTGTCACTATTGTAACTTAGCATTTTTATTTTAAAGTAATTCACTAAAAATATTTTCAGAAGTGTGGTGGTTTGAATAAGATTGGCCCCTATAGGCTCATATATTTGAATGCTTAGAGACTGGCATCAGGAAGTGTGGCCTTGTTAGAGTAGGTGTGGCTTGGTTGCATGAAAGGTGTCAGTAGGAGTGGGTTTTGAGGTTTCAAATGCTCAAGCCATGCTTTCATGTTGCCTGGAGATCCAGATGGAGAACTCTCAGCTCCTCCTCCAGCACCATGTCTGCCCGCACGCTGCCATGCTTCCTACCACGACGATAATGAGCTAATCCTCTGAACTATATAAGCCAGCACCAATTAAATTGTTTTTTTATAAGAGCTGCTGTGGTCATGGTGTCTCTTTACAATAATAGAAACCCTAGCCAAGCAGTGGTGGCACAGGCCTTTAATCCCAGCACTTGAGAGGCAGAGGCAGGAAGATCTCTGAGTTCGAGGCCAGCCTGGTCTACAGAGTGAGTTCCAGGACAGCCAGGGCTACACAGAGAAACTCTGTCTCAAAAAACAAACAAAAACAAAAACAAAAAAGTAAAAAAAAAAAAAAAAGAAACCCTAACTAAGACAGGAAGTAAGTTTATTTACTTCCAGTTCTGGGGATTGAACCTAGGGTCTCATGCATGATGACAGCACAGGAGGCAATACTCTCCTATTGAGAAGTCTCCCTTTGTAACTTGTTGAGACATGGTGTCTTAGTTAGGGTTTTATTGCTGTAAAGAGACATCATGACCAAGGCAACTCTTATAAAGACAACATTTACTTGGGGCTGATTAAACAGTTTCAGAGGTTTAGTCCATTATCACCAGTGGTGGGAAGCATGGCAGTGTGCAGGCGGACACAGTGCTGGAGGAACCAAGAGCTTGACATCTTGATCTGCAGGCAGCCAGGAGGAGACTGGAATTCCGCACTGGGTGGAACTTAAGAGACCTCAGGGCCCACCTACACAGTGACACAGTTTCTCCGACAAGGCCACAGCTCCTTCAACAAGGCCACACCTCCTAATAGTGCCACACTCTGTGGGCCAAG